GAGGCAGCCATTAATAACTTCACAGCAGCAGTGACAAACATTGACTGGCACACTGAGCTAGAAATCTATACAGATATTGACGAATGTATTAATAATTTTCTAAAAAAGACCCGATACCTCTATAACAAGCACTGCCCTAAAAAAAACTAAACAGATGACAGCTAAGAGACTGAACAGTCCCTGGCTAACACCCAGCATCCTCAAATCCATAAATACAAAGCACCTATACGAAAAACAGTACAGAATGGGTCATATAACCAGAGACCAAACAAAACGTTACTCGTCAATCCTAACCAGCCTGATAAGAAGGGCTAAAACATTGTATTATGAGAACAGATTATCCAACTTGCGAGGTGATATAAAAAAGACCTGGAAAACCCTATCAGAAATTCTAGGAACAAAAAAGATATAACGACATAGCGAAATTGAATTAACAAAACCAGATGAACCCCAACTCCCACCAACTGAAACAGCAGACAGACTCAATGATTTCTTCTCCACTATAGGAAAAAAACCTTGCCAATAAAATCCCAAGCTCAGATACCCCACCCAATGACTACCTCACTGGCAACTACCCGAACACACTGTTCCTAGCTCCGACTAACCCAACTGAAGTCTCTCTTATTATCAACACACTAAAAAACAAGACAGGTGATTTAAATACCTTACCACCCTATATATACAAAAAAGCATCACAAGTGCTATCACCAATCATTGCAACATTCTTTAACAAATCCATTGAATCCTCTACCTTCCCTACAGTTCTCAAAATAGCAAGGGTCACCCCGATCCATAAAGGAGGGGACCAAACAGACTTGAATAACTATAGGCCAATATCCAACTTACACCCTCTCTAAAATCTTCGAAAAATTAATTCATAAGCGAACCTATTCCTACCTCATCTCCCACAACATACTCAACCCCTGTCAATTTGAGTTCAGGCCTAATAAAAATACTAATGATGCTATTATACACATGCTAGAACATATATACACCGCAATAGAGAAAAAAGAAGTCCCACTGGGGATCTTCATTGACTTATGTAAAGCTTTTGATACAATTGACCATGACTTGCTCCACATAAAATTGTTGCACTATGGTATAAGAGGGCACTCCCTCAACTACCTAAAGTCGTACCTCAGCAACAGAAGCCAATATGTGTACACAAATGGGGCAAACTCTTCCGCACAGCCAATTACAGTTGGTGTCCCACAGGGAAATGTCCTAGGCCCTCTTCTCTTTCTCATATACATAAATGACCTTCCAAATGCATCGCAACTACTCAAACCCACACTATTTGCAGATAACACTACATACGTCTTCTCTCACCCGAGCCCAGTCACGCTAGCCAATACAGTAAATACCGAATTACAGAAAATGTCTACCTGGATGAGGACTAACAAACTCACTCTAAGCATTGACAAAACCTACTTCATTCAGTTTGGTAACAGAGCTACAGATGTCCCTCTTAACATAATGATAAACGGATCACCTATCACAAAACTCACAGAAGGAAAGTTCTTAGGAATCCACCTTGATAATAGACTCAAATTTCAAACACATATACAACAAATTTCCCAAAAAATTTCCAAGACCGTAGGCATACTATCGAAGATACGGTACTATGTTCCACAGTCAGCCCTCCTGGCCCTATATCACTCACTTATTTAACCCTATCTCACCTATAGAATTTGTGCATGGGGCTCAACAACAATAAACCATCTCAGACCACTAATCACCCAACAAAAGGCTGCAGTCAGAATGATAACAAATTCCCACTATAGGCAGCACACTCCACCAATATTCAAAACTCTAAACCTACTCACAATACAAAACATCCATACTTATTACTGCACCTACTACATACATAGAACACTTAACTCTGATATAAACCCTCCCTTCAACCTTACCAACCTCAACAGAACACATGACCATAACACAAGGCACAGATCACTCTTTGATGTTCCTCGAGTCCATCTCACGCTATGCAAAAACTCAATGCACATAAAAGGCCCTAAAATCTGGAATTCATTACCTGTGAATATAAAAGAAACACTGTTTATAAATTCAAGTCTCTTCTCAAAAATCACTTACCCACAACTAAATAAAAGCTGAATAATTGTATCTCATAAATTGTATCTCATAAATGTTTCTCATTATTGTATCTCATAAATGTCTAACCTGTGACCCAATCAGACTTTGTTATTTTTTAATTACATTACCTAACAAAATACTCCATTCTACTGAATGCTCAGCAACACAGTAAATGACCATATGACCTGTCTTTGTAATACTCATTTGTGCTAAATTGTTATCTGTTTACAATAATGTTTTTACCACTGAATATATCATTGCTTAGTTAATCTTAAGTTAATTTTAAGCCTGCTCACAATGCTCTCCTTACAAGGGGCTTTGGCATGCTGCACTTTAATAGCTGTATTCCTTTGTACTTCTCTGTATCATGTTCAAATTAATAAATAAATAAATAAATAAATAAATAATTATCATAATTTTAAAGATAAAAGAAATTGAAAAAGCATTGATATCAACCAAAATTTTGGTATCTTCCCCCGCTGGCACTTTTAGATGTGGTCTCCAAGTTTTTAGAAAGGATGACATTAGGGCTTTGAGTTGTTTGTTGTGTTATTTTGAAAACTTGGTTAAGTAACTTAAGAGTTACTACATATACACCTACCATCCGACTTACGACCTGCTCGACTTGCGACCACTCGACTTACGACCGTGTTTTTTATGCCAAATTTCTGGGAAATAAACAACTATTTGTGTTGTACACAGTGTTTATCCTAAACCTTACAGTATAAAATACAGTACTAACAACATAAAAAGTAAAGTAAAACATGAAATACCAAAATAAAACAATAAAATAAAGTCATTACAAAAATGTTTTGTTGATATTCAGTAGTAAAGTTTGACTTACGACCATTTCAACTTACGACCGGTTTCTCGGAACTGAACTCGGTTGTCAGTCGGATGGTAGGTGTATATTGACTGTTTGATGTGTTACAGGTGGTTGTGCGATCACCATGGCTACCACACACCATGGTACAAATGCTGAACCGTCAGAGCCAGTAAGTTATACCACACACCTTGATGACCCTCATGATACAACTATCAGAGTCAGTAAGTTATACCATACACCATGACGACCTTTATGGTACAACTGATGAACCATCCGAGCCAGTAAGTTATGCCACTCACCATGACAACCTTGGTACAGCCTTCAGAGTCAGTAAGTTATACCACACACTGTGATGACCTTCATGGTACAACTGATGAACTGTCAGAGCCAGTTACTTATACCACATACCATGATGTCCTAATGGTACAACTGATCAAGCATCAGAGTCAGTAAGTTCTTTCTCATAATTTACTAAGCAGCTATACAATATAGTGCATATTTTGGTACACCAAAGTTTTTTAAATGTAAATCAACCCTGTGCAGCAAGCCAGTCTACCAGAATAACTGTGGGTAGTGGGTGGCTTGTAATAGTGATTATGGTAGATAACAATGAGAGTTGAAGAATAAGACACTTGTTTCACAGGTGTCTTATCTTCATCTTGTTGATTTTCTAAACCATTTATATCATACAACAGTGAGAATGTTTTAACCAATGCACTTTGTCCGTTGATTATGAATCAGTTGGCTCAGTGGATTTTGCTTCATATTTCTAGTGTTAAACTGAAGTGCGTTCAAGGATTTTGTGTCATTCATGGGAGGTTAGGTTGCCAGAGCTGCAGTAAATCCTGAGAATGTTGATAGATAGTTTTTAATGTATGATTTATCTTAATGTTTTTGGTTGTACCTTTGATATACCTTTGAAGAATTTCGAGAGTATATTTACTGTCTGAGCCCGGCCATGAGCCAGGCTCATCTGGTGCAGTTCTTCAGATATTTCTCTGATGAGTTTAACTCTTCAATTGTGGTAGACCCAGAAATAAAAATATGCTGGATGTGTGGCAGAATTTTGAAAAATCTAAAAAAGTGTGTGATAGATTGAAGGGGCACATTTTTCAGAATAGAATAAGATCAAGAAAACTGAAATTTTGTAATAACTTACCATTTTATGGCCTATTGAAGTTGGCATAAATTGATGGTATCTGCAACTTTGTTGTGATGCTGCCTAGAACTATTTACATTTTCTTTGTTTCAAACAATTTTTTTTTTACACATTGTCCCTCTTCCACTGAGGCAGTGTGACCCAAAAAAGAAGAAGCGCAAGTTTCTCTTTTTACATTTGTGTCCCTCTTCCACTGAGGCAGTGTGACCCAAAAAAGAAGAAGCGCAAGTTTTTCTTTTTACATTTGGTTACTAGCCCCTTGCTCCCGGCGTTTTAGTCGCCTCTTACAACATGCATGGCTTACAGAGGAAGAATTCTGTTTCCACTTCCCTATGGTAATGCAATTTTTTTTTTCTTGTTTTGAGTGTATAGTACTAATACCACATTTTCTAATGCTAGTAGAGTTTGTTATTAAAATAAGTTGACAAAGACAACACCATCATAATAAATGTTTACAAATACAATACCTACTTATTTTCTCTTAGTTTTAAAAATAGTTTTTCCACTCTAACACTATATATTGATAAATTTTCATATATTACAGTGTTTCAGGTTATAATATTCCTCAGAAGACTTATAAATTAGACACAGGTGCAACATTTGGATATCTATATTGTGGAAATATTTTGTCACATAGTGGCTTCATCAGTCTTATACAAAGGAAACTGGTGAAGATCAGGAGTAGATTGAGGTAATCAGTCCCTCAGCCTGGAGTTGATGTAATAAGTCCATCAGTCTTGATAAGAATCAAGACTGATATACTGATTACATCTATCTTGATAAGAATCAAGATCGATGGACTGATTACATCGACTCCAGGCTGAGGGACTGATTACCTCAAACTTCTTCTGATCTTCACCATTCTTCCTTGTACTGGACTGATGGAGTCACTGTGTGGTGAAATGTTTCCACAATAAAGATACCCAAGTGTTGCACATATATCTAATTTATCAACTTGTCAGTTCTCTGAACCATTTATCTACAAACAAAAGACTGACTGAGGACTCGGAAGTGTCTTTGCCCAGTCTTCTCTTTGTTCAGTAGTTTGTATCTTTGTGCCTTTCTTGTTTGTTTGGTTGTGTGCTGGCACACGTAACATCTCTCTGTGCTTGCTTCTTCTCTATAGCTGCAATTATATCAGTGAAGTGTGAACTAGGCTTTAGAATGGATCACTGGGAGTCTTGCTGGTGAGTCCTTCAAACAGCAACGTTAGTGGTGCAGCAGTTTGTTGAGAGTAATTTACACACCCACATTAATGTGTTCTTTACTGACATATAGAGTCTTTGGTAGGTTTCTAACAATCTTTACTAACATGTAGAGGTCTATGATAGGTTACTAACATTCTTTACTTACATGTAGAAGTCACTGGTGGGTTTCTGTGATCTGTTTTATTGCAGATGAATGGAAATCAGCTAATTTTGGTCTCTTGCTAATTTTCACCTGGGATGGTCTCTTGCTAGTTTGCATCTGAAATATATTGTATGTATGTAGTACTGTATCGTGTAACATATGCAAAAACATTTCATATATCAAAGTACTCGCGACACTTTTGATAGATTCAATATGTTCATCTGACCTGTCGACCAAAATCGGTATTTGTGTCAGTGATGATTGTGACTGCTTTCTGAAGAGGTTCACTGATCTCTCTAACTTTCCTGTTGGTATTATTTCGTGGATTTGTAGGGTTGTCATTGTTGCCATGTCTCTTGTATCATGCCACCGAAGCACCGTCACGTCATTGCTATGAAATATCTGCACTTCTTTTCTATCAGTGTTGGCCATGGAACAATGCTAGTATTTTGCCAAGCCGATGCTCGTTTTCCCGCGGCTGAAGTCGGCACCTCATGTGTCTTGTATGTTTCATTCTGACATCAATGTTGGCATGTTAGCTCACTGTCACTTTTGCGTTCTCCTTCGCCATAAAATATAATGAGTATGATGGAGAGCATGACTTAGTGCAACACTGCCACCAGTCACTGTCATCAACACTTCTACAGTTGCTGTCATCAACACTGCTGCAGTCACTACCATCAACACTGCTACAGTCCTGTAGTCCTGTGTTGGTGAGCCTTGTGTTACTGGATCAAATTTTCCTTTCAGTTTAATTCACATTACCAGGTGTATAATTAACCAGTTGAATAATTAATGAGGTGTGTAATTAATCAGGTGTATAATTAACAAGGTGTATAATTAACTGGGTATGTAATTAACTAGACATATAATTAACCGGGTGTGTAACTAACCAGGTGTATAACGTTTCAGCAAGGAGGTTCGGACTTTACTGCCCGAGCCTACCAGTTAGAACTGTTCGAGGAGGCCAAGAAACAGAACTCCATTTTGGTGTTGGGCACAGGTTCTGGCAAGACTTTCATATCCATCCTTCTTATCAGAGAGCTGGCACACCAGGTATTGTTCATGTCCTTTTATGACAAGTATTGTTGATCTGTTTATGATAGGTATTGTTGATCTGTTTATGATAGGTATTGTTGATGTCATGTTTGAGGCAGGTATTGTTGATGCCATGTTTGAGACAGGTATTGTTCATGTCATGATTAATTAACCCATTCACTGTCTCGTCTTTAGACCACAGCATCCTACTCCTCAAGCTTGATCATTACAGTATAAGAGGGCATGCACTTGCATTTATCAAGTCTTACCTTACTAATTGAAAGCAATATGCCTCTGTCAAGGATGCAACCTCCTCAACAAGACCCCTGGACACTGGTGTACCACAGGGAAGCATTCTTGGCCCCCTCCTTTTCCTTTTATACATCAATGATCTTCCAAGTGTATCTCAGCAACTTACGCCTATTCTCTTTGCTGATGACACAACTTTTGTCATCTCCCACCCTAATCTAGCCTCACTCGACACTATTGCTAATGAGGAGCTCGCAAAAATAGCAGCCTGGATGACTGTCAATAAACTTACACTTAATAAAGCAAGTGAGGTCCAACTAAACATTATGCTTAATAACATTCTTATTGCTATACATATGAGGGAAAATTCCTGGGTCTGCACCTTGCCAGCAACCTGAAATTCATTACCCACATCCTGTACAACAGTAGCTTGGAACCTAACCTGCTGTATAAGCGGGACCCTCCTATACAGCAGTAGCACAGAACCTAACCTGTTGTATAAGTGGGGCCCTCCTGTACAGCAGTAGCCCAGAGCCTAACCTGCTGTATAAGCAGGGCCCTCCTGTACAGCAGTAGCCTGGAACCTAACCTTCTGGATAAGCGGGACCCTCCTGTACAGCAATAGCCCGGAACCTAACCTGCTGTATAAGCAGGGACCTTCTGTGCAGCAGTAGCCCAGAACCTAACCTGCTGTATAATCGGGGCCTTCCTGTATAGGAACCCAGAATGGCATGCTTCCTGTATCATTGTGTCCTCAACACTAGTGAGACACTCACAAGTTGCTACTCCCTCAGATGTTGTAGTTACTATACATAGCTGTAGAAATATTGTATGAAAATAAGATTTACATTTTTGTACTGAAAAATGCCAGAATAGCAAAACAGGTGCCAGATAAATGAACTGTGAGTATAATTGAAAACCACTGCATTAGCGGAACACCGAAAATCGAAGTGCTGTAAAGTGGGACCTTCCTGTATTGTTGATGTCAGGTAAAATCCTTTCACTGTCAAGATCCCCAAAGTTAATATTGCTCCTATTGTCCACTTTAACTCTTTTTGAGGTGGGTCCCATTGTACTATGGTTTTGAAACCCGGGTCAGTCCTGTAGTTTTACTCCACGAGCTCACCTCTCTCAGATAAGGCATGAGCAGTAAATTTGGGCCTAGATATGAGAAACTGGGTCTGTGGTAAGTTGCACCATATAAAAAAAAATCTTGCGGCACGCAATGCATAATGGAAAAAACTGTGAATTTTTGGTTTAACCCTTTCAGGGTTTCTGACATACTAGTACAGCTTATGCACCAGGGTTATTGATGTACTAGAATGCCTAAATTCTAGCGCCTTCAAATCTAGTGAGAGAAAGCTGGTAGGCCTACATATGAAAGAATGGGTCAATGTGGTCAGTGTGCACAGTATAAAAAAAATCCTGCAGCGCACAGTGCATAATGAGAAAAAAAACACTCCGACCGTGGTTTTGGTTTAAAAGAGCGACTGTGCAGTGTATTTTCGTATGGTATTTATGGTTGTATTCTAGTTTTCCTGGTCTCATTTTATAGAATGGAAGACATATTACAGAAATTGAGATGATTTTGATTGGTTCCATAATGAAAAGTACCTTGAAATTGAGCTTAAAGTAACAGAAATGTTCAATTTTTACCAAATTTCAAAAGTAAACAAATCATGCCAAGTATCCAATACACGTCAACTGGTGAATCTAATATTCTTTCACAAGTGCACTGATATTATTTATACCATTTCTACACCATTTCTATGTAGTAGTCTGCATAACAGTAAATCTTCTATTTTTTGTAAGAATAAAAATTCAAAGTGGAAAGCAAGAGAGATGTAAGAGGGGCCTGGGGATGTGACTAATGAACAGCAAAAATGCTATTTTAGTGCCAGGAATGTCTATCTTGCTTATTCTGGACCCTATTTGGAAATTGGCATCTTTTGAAATTTGTGTGAAATTGGCAAAATTGCCAATTTCTGACCACTTTATTGGATACTTGAAATTGGTAAATGGGTGGTTTCTTGTACTCATTTGATAGAAAAAATGGAGTTCTAGTAAAACAGATATGATTTTTGTCAACTAGTACACTGAAATTGGCTGAAAATAGGGCTCAAAGTGGGCAAAATCCCCAATGCATAAACATTGTTGAGACCGCTAACTTCGCAAGAGCATAATTCCGTAAGTTTTCCATCAAATTTCATACTTTTTGTGTCATTATGATCGGGAAAAGATTCTCTATAATTTCATAAGAAAAATTTTTTTTTTTTTTTTCCGAAAAATTTTCGACCCTGAGGACGAGTTTAGCCCTTTCAGGGTCCGTCCCGTAGATCTACGGCTTTACGTTCAGGGTCCAAACCGTAGATCTACGCCATGAGCTCAGCTCACTCTGATAAACTGTGAGTGGTACATTTGGGCCTAGATATGAGAGAATACATCTATGTGGTATGTGTGCACCACATAAAACAGATCCTGCAGCACACTGTGTATAATGAGAGAAAAAAAATGAAATCATGATTTTTCGATTAAAACAGCAATTTTGCAGTGTTTTTTCGTATGTTTTTTATAGTTGTATTTGCGATTTCTTGGTCTCATTTGATAGAATGGAAGACATATTACAGAAATAGAGATGATTTTGATTGGTTTTAGCACTGGAAATGGCTTGAAACTGAGCTCAAAGTAGCGGAAATGTTAAATTTTTGCCGATATTCAAGAGTAAACAAACGACCTCACACGTCTAATACACGTCAGCTGGTGGGTCTAATATATTCACAAATATGGTGATGATATTTATACAATTATTACAGTATTGCATAACAGTAAATCTTCTATTTTTTGGTGTGAATAAAAATTCATTATGTGAATAAAAAATCAAAATGGAATTTATTTGTAAAGCCTCAAAAACATAACTAATGAACAGAGGAAATGTTAGTTTAGTGCCAGGAATGCCTACATTGTTCATTCTGGACCCTATTTTGAAATTGGAATATTTTGAACTTTGTGTTAAATTGGCCAAATTAACAATTTCCGATCACTTTATTTTGTTGTTGAAACAGTTGACTTGGCGATTTCTTGTGTTCAATCGATAGAATAGAAGTAATACTAGTGAAATAGCTAAGAATTTGGTTGATTGGAATAATGTAATTGGCCTAAAATGGGAGTCAAAGTCGGCAAAATCACCGATTCGTAAATATCGCTGACACATCAAAATTCGCGAGAGCATAATTTCGTCAATTTTCCACCAAATTTCGTACTTTTTGTTTTATTACCTTCACAAAAAGATTCTCTACGATTTCATAAGAAAAAATAACAAATTTTTTTTTTGAAAATTCTTGGACACTGGTGCATGACTCCAGATTTGGGCCTTGGACCCTGAAAGGGTTAGGAGAGGGCCTCTCGACCCTGAAAGGGTTAAAACACCATCTGTGGTGTATTTTTGTATGGTTTTTGTTTGTATTCTCGGTTTCTTGATCTCATTTGATAGGATGGCAGATATTATAGAAATAGAGATGATTTTGATTGGTTTCAGGACTGAAAGTAACTTGAAATTGAGCTCAAAGTAATGGAAATGTTCAGTTTTTGCCGATATTCCAGAGTACACAAATTGTGTCATTCGTCTAATACCCATCCAACTGGTCAGTGTAATATGTGTTCACAAATATGCTCACATTGTTTATACAATTATTACACTACTGCAATAGTCTGCATAACAGTAAATCTTCAATTTTTTTGTGTGAATAAAAATTTAAAATGGTAAACAAGCATAATATAAGAGTGGCCTGGAGACATGACTAATGAACAGAGGAAATGTTATTTTAGTGCCATGAATGTCTACATTGTTTATTCTGGAATCTACTTTGAAATTGGCAGTTTTTTTTATTTTGTTTGAAATTGACCAAATTACTGATTTCTGAGTACTTTATTTGGGTAGTTGAAATAGGTAAATGGGGAGCTTCTTGCACGCAATCAGTAGAATGGGAGGACTACTAGTGAAATAGCTATAAGTTTATTTGACTGGAAGACTGAAATTGGCTGATAATAGGACTCAAAGTGGGAGAAATCGCCGATGTGTAAGCATCGATGCAGTAGCATAAGTCTTCCATCAAATTTTTTTACTTTTGGTTTCATTACATTTGGAAAAAGGTTCTCTATCATTTCTTTTTTTTTTTTTTTAATTCTCTGACCCTTAGAGCAAGTTTGAGATCAGGGGTTCCAGCTCTGAAAGGGTTAATGAAAAATTGTTTTCCTCTTAAATTGTAGAGAATTTTTTTTCTGAAAGTAATGACAAAAAATTAAAAAAATTGATGGAAAGCTTACAGAATTATACAGCGCAAAATTTAGTAGCAGTCTTGGCACAATTTACACATCGACGATTTTGCCCACATTGAGTCCTATTATATATTGATTCCATTGCTCCATTAAGCCAAATTCTTAACTATTTCATTAGTATGCCTTCTGTTCTATGGAATGGGCACAAGAAACCACCCATTCAACTATTACGGCTGCCCTATAACATGCACCGATATCGGTAATTTGGTAAATTTTACACAAAATTTAAAAAATGCCAATTTAAAATTTGAGTGCAAAATAAACAAGGTAGACATTCCTGGCACTAAAATAACATTTCCTCTGTTCATTAGTCACGTCCTCAGGCCTCTCCTATGTTACACTTGCTTTCCATTTTGAATTTTTATTCATAAAAAATAAAAGATTTTTTTTTTCTGGATAATAAAATATAACCAAAAATGATTGGTCATTGTTTATCACATCTCAATAATTGTATCAGACTTATTAAAAACCGATAAAACAGGCTAGGGAGTGTAGGGGGGGGGGGCCTTACCCACCCTCAGGAAAATCGGCAAAAATCAAATATTTTTGTTACTTTGAGCTCAATTTCAAGTTATTTCTGGTTATGAAATGAACTTTAACTCATCTCTATTTCAGTATCATGTCTTAAATTCCATCAAATGTTACCAAGAAGCAGCCAATAAAAGTATAAAACCATCCTAGAAAATACCTCAAAGTTGCTATTTTAACCCTTAAACTGTCCAAATGTAGATCTACGTTTTTTCAACATTTGAAAGTATGTAAAAAAACGTAGAGCTTCTTTTTCTTTTTTTACATTTGAAAACGTGTAAAAAAACTTTGATCTACTTTTTTTTTTATTTGAAAATATGTAAAAAACATAGATCTACTTTTGGAGCACTACGCATGTGAATGTAGATCTGTTTGGACAGTTTAAGTATTAAACCATACACACGGCATGAGTTTTGCTTGTCCCATCATGCACTGATGAGACAGGATTTTTTTTTGTACTATGCACACTCACTATACAGTGAGTGGTAAATTTTGTCTAGGACAAAATTTATCACTCACGAGTTATCTGAGTGAGCTGAGCTCATGACGAAGATCTACGTGACAGACCCTGGCATCAATGATGTATTGTTTATGTTATGTTTAAGACAAGTATTGTTTTTCATGTTTAAGACAAGTATTGTTTATGCAAATTTTTAAGATAGGTATTGTTGATATCATGTTTATGACAGGTATTGTTGATGTCATATTAATGACAGGTATTGTTGATGTCATGTATTAGTTATTATTGATGTCATGTTCATGACAGGTATTGTTGATGTCATGTTTAGTGTCATCTGAATTGTGATGTCTTTACACTTCTGGCAAGACAGTGTTTAAATGAATGATGGTAAATGTGTTTCCTCTTCGTTTGTGTCAACTTACTATGGTGGAGACAGCCAGTGGATTAATAAAACTAACAATAACTCCATGGTTGTTACTGAGCAGATCCGAGGGTCATTGTCGAGCGGCAGTAAGCGGACGGTGTTCGTGGTGAACACAGTGCCGCTGGTGCACCAGCAAGCACTGGCGATAGAAACACATACAGCACTGCAAGTGGGCAAGTACGAAGGATCCATGGGTGTTGACTACTGGACTGACGACCGTGTGAGTTAGTGTATTATTGTATGTTGGTGCAGTGTGAGTGTATGTTGGTACAGTGTATGACTATGTTGGTGTCGTGTATGACTGTTGGTGCACCGTATGACTATGTTGGTACATTGTAGGACTATGTTGGTGCAGTGTATGACTATGTTGGTGTAGTGTATGACTGTTGGTGCAGTGTATGACTATGTTGGTATAGTGTATGACTATGTTGGTGTAGTGTGTGACTATGTTGGTGCAGTGTATGACTATGTTGGTGCAGTGTATGACTATGTTGGTGCAGTGTATGACTGTTGGTACAGTGTATTACTATGTTGGTATAGTGTATGACTATATTGGTATAGTGTGTGACTATGTTGGTGCAGTATATGACTGTTGGTGCAGTGTATGACTATGGTGGTATAGTGTATGACCATGTTGGTGTATGACTGTTGTTAGTTTACATGAGGTAAGAATTTGTTGTTGTTGAGATGCTACAGTGTATTTCACCGTGTCAAGTCAACACACTTCTGCTGCCAGCACGGTCACTAACTGATTTATGGTGAACGTGTTCCCTTCTTTGTGTCACACTGCTTCAGTGAGAGATGACTGAAGAATGCTCACATGGTTCAACCTCCCCCCCCCTCCTGTGGCCTGGTTCCACACCCATCCTGGTGAATCAGGGTGGTGGGTCCGGCCTTGATCAACCAGTGTGTTACTGCTTGCAAATACTTACAGTATTTATAAGATATACAGTGAGCTCCCTGATAAAGCTCCTCTCTTTACTGTGATTTTCTATATCAAAAAGTACATGAAAAATAGAATAGCTTGTGGTAAAGCCTACATAGCTTGCAATAAAGCTTACATAGCTGGTGGTAAAGCTTACATGGCTTGTGGTAAAGCCTACATAGCTTATGGTAAAGACTACATAGCTTGTGGTAAGGCTTACATAGCTTATCACTTACTGTTCTCTTGTCTTACAGTGGAAGGATGAGTTGGAGAAGAACGAAGTACTGGTGATGGTGGCACAGATCTTCCAGGATTTAGTTCTTCATGCCAGGCTACCATTATCATCAGTCAACCTCATCATTATGGATGAATGTCATCACACCACAGGGTCCCACCCCATGCGAGAGATCATGAGACAATATGAATCGCTGAAGAGATGTACACCCAAGAAATGTCCTAGAGTTCTGGGTCTGACAGCTTGTGTCATTCATCGTAAGTGTAAAAAGAAGGATGTGAAGAAATTGATGAAGGCGCTGGAAATGGCGATGGATTGTGCATTGGTGACAACTACTGATCAAGAAGAAGTTATTAAGTATAGTACTGGCCCCAAGGAGAGGATCATTTGTTATGAATCTGAAGAGCCTACCGAGTACCAGGAATTAATTAGTGCTCAGCTACAAGGAATTGTAGAAGATGTACTAGAGCAAAGGGATATCGAGTTAAAGTACAAGAAATTAGTCACGAAGAAGATGGACAATATTCGGCATATCATGGGTACTCTGGGAGACTTCTGTGTGGCTCAGGCTATCCAGTATGAGATGGATCACTTTGATGAGATCGAGAAGATTGAGGATGTACCAACTGTTCGAGAATTGATCGTTTTGCTCAGAGACAGGTTGAAGGCAATAAAGGAATACTGTACAGAAATTGAAGCCTCGATGAGTCCTATTGTCCATGTATCCAAGAAGGTGAAGAAGTTGTACGAAATATTTCGTGCATGTAACACAGAGGTGTATGGACTGATCTTTGTGGAGAGGAGAAACACTGCTAAGATTCTCTATGATTTATTATTGAAGGCTGCTGAGCAAAGTGATAATCTTGCATATGTAAAACCTTTGTATGTTATTGGTTCAAACTCCCGTTTAGGTCTTGACATTCGTTTGGCTGAGCTGGAACTTCGCAAGCAGAACGAAACCTTAAATAAGTTTCGTAATGGTGATTGCAATTTTGTTGTTTCAACTAGTGTTTTAGAAGAAGGTGTGGATATTAGGAAGTGCAACATAGTCTTGCGATTTGACAAGCCAATGAACTACCGCGCGTATGTGCAATCAAGAGGTCGAGCTCGAGCACTGCCGTCCAGGTACTTACTGATGGTACAGCACAGCGACCTGCAGGAAATGCTTGAAACAGTGGAAGTTTATAAGGAAATTGAAAACTCACTGATAAATTTGTGTCATGATCGTGAGTTACCAACGAGTAATGAGACCAGGGAGCACTTTGCTGAAGATGAATATATTGCACCATACGAACCTTATGGTCCTGATGGCCCCAAAATCACCCTCAACTCTGCCATTCCACTTATTAATGTGTATTGTGGTAAGTTACCTCAGGACAAGTTTACAGTCCTGGCACCAGAAGTTGTCATCAAGACTACTGAAGAGGGGTGTGTGGCTGAGATAAAGTTACCCATTAATGCTAGCTTCAAGGAGAAGGTGAGTGGTGACTGTATGGAGAACAAAGACTTGGCCAAGAAGAGTGCTGCACTCCTTCTCTGTAAAACTTTGCATAAAATGAATGAGTTAGATTGTAACTTGAGGCCAGCTGCGGCTTCGGATGATGGTATGCTAGATGGACTAGTGGAGATTCAGCCAGAACAAGTCGAGGCCGGGGAACCCGAACCTGGCACCAAGAAGCGACGGCAGGTTTATGAGAGAGAGGTATGCCAAGCTTTCACCCATTGCCAAGAAGGAATGTACAAACTTTATTCCATCATCATTCAGCCTTCAGGTCCACAGCTTACTGACTTGCTCATAGATTCCACTAAGAGTGAGGTATCACTGGGATTGATTTGTAAAAAAGACTTATTACATTGTCCATTTCCCCTCTACTGCTCTAAATGGGGAGAGGTGGAAGTCAAAGTGGAATTTATTAAGGAAATTAAAGATCAAAGTCCAGAGTTGATAAGACAAATTGAACACTTTCACAAGGTAGTTTTTGAAACGCTGTTACACATCAATTTTAAGCTGTTTGATTTTAATTCTAGAAATTCTGGTGTATTTATTGTACCATTAGGAAAAGAAAGCACCATTAACCTAGATATTCTAAATCAGATATCTAGTTTGCCATCTCTTAGAGCTAGAGAGCCCATTGTAAATGAACCACAAGCAGGAATTTTCCACTTTGAGAGAGCTTTTTATGAGGATGCTATTATATATCCTTTATATCCAACAGAAGAACCTGAGATTATGTTCTATGTCACACAGATAGTCACTGAATTGAACCCACTATCAGAGTTTCCTGATTTCAAGGATCTCTACTATTCATACTCTGATTACTATAAGCAGAAGTACGGTCAGAGCATCAGTAACATGCAGCAGCCTTTGTTACTCGCAAAACACTTACCTAGAGAGCTCAACTTCTTGAAGAAGCTACCAACGTCTTGTGAGACGATTGACGGGTCTGAGAGTGATTTTCCTATGTGTGCACCTCAGTTCCTTGGCCTCAAAAAGTTATCGAGCAAAAAAAATAGCAGGAAGCATGAACGTGATTATGCTAAGTTTGTGCCTGAGTTGTGTGGTGTCCTTCCCCTGAAAGCTTCTGTCTGGTGGCAGGTCATGTGCATCCCTTCTATTCTTCATCGTCTCAATAGTCTGAACTTGGCGTACCAGCTCAATGTTGTCATGAATGACTCAAGATTTATACAGAATTCAGACCACAAGAAAATTAATTTAAACTGGCCTGAAGAAATAATTAAAAGGATAAGAAATTCTAGTAAGCAGAATTTGTGTGTATCATTACTGGAAAGAAAGAATGACTACATCCATCCATTTGCGATTGTTCAAGCTCTCACACTTCGTGGATCCAACGATAACTTTGATCTGGAAAGACTGGAAGTTCTTGGAGATTCTTTCCTCAAGTTCATCACGGCAGAGTATTTATTTTTGAAGGAGATCAAGAACCACGAAGGTAGACTCTCTATGCGTCGTGGTAAACTGGTCTGTAACAGCACTCTCTATTCCTTGGCTAAATCCAGAGCAATACCAGAGAAGATCCAGTCAGTCAATTTGTCACCTCCCACCAATGGTTTCCTGCCAGGCTTCATGATAAAACCTGAAGTTGATAAACAGTTTAGAAGCTGCAGTCTTGCTCACTCCATGTGGTCCAATGTACCTAAGTTAAGTGAGATGGACCACATGCAACAGGTCAGTGTTTCCAAGAATTTTCAATGAAATGACAAACATGTTATGGGGAGGCGGGTGGGTTGGCGGGCATGTCACTGTGTGTGTGGAGGGGGGATATTTGAATTGCAACGTCCACATGCTTTTATCAAAACAGCTATTGATTAAACCATGGTTCATGTGTTGACTTCTGTGAGTTGCCTGATCTTGCTGGGGAAAACATAGTCTTAAATGTCATAGATTTATTGGCTGTATTGTGTATTGAATTTTATTGTTGGGTGACTTACCTAGTTGGGTGACTGTTACGTAGTTTGGGTGACTGTTACAGATGGTTGAAAATTTGGAAATTAGCAAAAATGAGAAGAGTAAGAAGAAAGTGGAGAAATCAGCTTGCTACAACCCCTGGAGTGAACACCTTTTGGCAGACAAAAACATCGCAGACAGTGTTGAGGCTCTGATTGGTGCCTACCTACTGGCTGCCGGCACCCAAGCTGCCGTTACTTTCCTTCATAAACTCGGCCTTGGTGTCTGTAACGTGAGTAACACTATATTGTTCATTACAGTGGCTGCAAAACAATCTATACATTAACAATTTTTGGACAATAAAATGAAAAAATGCAACTTAATGTATGCACATGTATTTTATTTTCACTTTTTAGCATCCAACTAGTACTTGGTCATGTTACCAATGTTCTTTATCACCACCTGAAGTCGCCTGGGCATCGAAGTGGCGAGGGTGGAGAAGAGGGAGGCGTCCGTGTTGATCCAAAGCTTCTTCAGTGTCTCCTTCAGATTCGTGATGTTGGTGGGTCGAGCTTTTGCAATCTCATTTTTCATCACATGCCAGGCATTCTCAATAGGATTTAGGTCAGGGGAATTGCCTGGCCACTCCAAAACACTGACATTATTGTCCTCGAGGAACCTTTTCACTCCTTTTGGCTTATGGACAGGGGCATCATCATGAATAAAAAAAATCACACTCATGAATGTTCCAAAATGCCAGCATGTGGTCCCTTAACACCTCGATATAATTGCTTCCCTTCGTCGTAATGTTCTTAGGAAGAAAGTACAGTCCACCTCTGCCCTTATAACCACTGAAAGCACCCCAGACCATAACACTGTCAGGGTGCTTCACTGTTTTCATGGCATACTGTGGGTCATAACGGGACACACTACTGGGATGATGGATGGTCTGACAAGCCGCTCTGATGAGCCTGAAGGTACTCTCGTCACTGAACATCACCTTCTGCCACTGGTCTGAGGTCCAATCCTTGTACTTCTTGCAGAACTGAAGCCGTTTCTTCTTCATGGCTTCAGTTAGCATGGGCTTTGCGGCACATCGAACAGGCATTTTCAGGTCCTTTTTGCAGTCGGTGCTGAATGGTTCGCACTGCAACGTCTTTCAGAAGTGCAGGATGCTTTTTCTTGAGGTCTGCGGCTGTTATGGCACAATCTGATAACGCTTCCCTCTTCAGGATCTTGTCTATGCGAAGAGAATTCATTTTGGGGGCCCCAGACTCCACCTTCCTAGGTGGTACGGTGCCAGGTAGGAGCGAGACAGCTGCTTTCTTGAGGTTGTAAATTGCCATCCTAGCCACCTTCAGGTCTGCAGCTATGCATATCACAGATGTGCCTTGCTCTAATAGGGTGAGTGCACAAGTCTTCTCTACAATTGAAAGTTTAGTTCGACCCATTCTGACCACTTGGAGCAGAGATATAGCATGGCAAAGTTTGTGGTCAAGTGAAAAAATGGGCAATGAGTAACAATGGAGCAATCCTCCTTCCTCATTGAGCTCTGGAAGAGCACTGAAGTGTGGGGTGGTGGGGAATGTTGGAGCAAGACAGGCTCCAGTACACCAAGCCATCACAAGCTCCACCCACTTTTCTTTGGCGGAAATTCAAGTGAAATGTGTACACCAAAATCTAGTGTATAGATTTTTTTGCATTGGAAATGTATAGATTTTTTTGTGGCCACTGTATGTTCAGAGTTTTTACCGTTTTTTCACCATTTTCATACAACAGTTGCATAAAGAAAGGCAACCGGCACTGGATTTTAAGGTAGCTATTGTATGTGCTGTGTATTTATTTTACTTTTTATCTGTTTTTTATGCCTACTTGTATTGAGTGCTTATATATGATGGTGCAAAGCATTATCAGGAATTTTAGGTACATTTAATAATGAAAAACTGCTTTTATTTTTTTTCCCACCCACCAGCAATTTTTGCTTACTGTACAAGTTCTAGAACCTAAGAGCCATACAAAACAGGGCCATCCTGTTCTCTGATTATTTTCCAGTACAGGAAGGCTGGCCCTGCTTTACAAAGCTTTGCTTTACAGTGCTTTGCTTTACAGTGCTTTGCTTTACAGCAGTTTTCAGTCATATCCATTCTTCATTTATTTGACTTCCTACAATAAATATATTCACCACTCACTATAAGGTAAGGATGAAAATATTTTAAGGTAAGTAATATGTGTACTATATATGCAATTTTTAGGCCTAGCTCTATTGCTCACTTAATATATGATAGTATAAACATGTTATCAGGCTTTTATATGCATTTGAAAGTGAAAAAAACTATGATTCACTTTACAGTGATTTTTGCTTTACAGCAGTAGCCTGGAACCTAACCTGCTGTATAAGCGGGGCCCTCCTGTACAGCAGTAGCCTGGAACCTAACCTGCTGTATAAGCGGGGCCTTCCTGTACAGCAGTAGCCTGGAACCTAACCTGCTGTATAAGCGGGGCCCTCCTGTACAGCAGTAGCCTGGAACCTAACCTGCTGTATAAGCGGGGCCCTCCTGTACAGCAGTAGCCTGGAACCTAACCTGCTGTATAAGCGGGGCCCTCCTGTACAGCAGTAGCCTGGAACCTAACCTGCTGTATAAGCGGGACCCTCCTGTACAGCAGTAGCCTGGAACCTAACCTGCTGTATAAGCGGGGCCCTCCTGTACAGCAGTAGCCCGGAACCTAACCTGCTGTATAGGTGTGGAACGCCTGTGCTGATGGAAAATAATAGTTTTAATTATTATAATTTACAATTTTTTTTTATATTGCCGAGTGCAGGCACTACTGCAGTGACAGCAACATTGATGGAGAGAGAGATATTGTAGATTGTGTTTGAGAGGGCCAGTGTAGTCATTACGACTATCATCCCTTCGTGAAGTGTTCTCTAAACTCACTGTTGTGAGTATCAGTACCACACTACAGTAGCACACTACACTGCCACACTACACTACCACACTACACTGCCACACTACACTGCCACACTACACTACCACACTGCACTACCACACTGCACTACCACACTACACTGCCACACCACACTACACTACCACACTACACTGCCACACTACACTACCACACTGCACTACCACACTGCACTACCACACTGCACTACCACACTGCACTACCACACTGCACTACCACACTGCACTACCACACTACACTGCCGCACCACACTACACTACCACACTACACTGCCACACTACACTACCACACTACACTACCACACTGCACTACCACACTGCACTACCACACTACACTGCCGCACCACACTACACTACCACATACACTGCCACACTACACTACCACACTACACTACCACACTGCACTGCCACACTACACTACCACACTACACTGCCACACTACACTGCCACACTACACTACCACACTACACTGCCACACTACACTGCCACACTACACTACCACACTACACTACCACACTACAGTGCCACACTACATACCACACTACCAAACTACACTACCACACTACAGCACACTACCACACTACACTACCAAACTACACTACCACACTACACTGCACTCCACACTACACACATACACTACCACACTACATTACCACACTACCAAACTACACTACCACACTACACTACCACACTGCACTACCGCACTACATTACCACACTATGCTGCCACTCTATACTACCACACTACACTACCACACTACCAAACTACATTACCACACTACCACACTACACTACACACTACAGTACCACACTTCAGCACACTACACTACTGCACTACAGCACACTACACTACCACACTACACTGCCACACTTCACTACCACACTATTCTACTACACTACAGCACACTGCACTTCCACACTACAGTGTCACACTACACTACCACACTACAGCACAGTTCACTAGCACACTAAACTACCACACTACACAAACATACTACAGCACAGTATACTAGCACCCTACACTACCACACTACACAAACATACTACAGCACAATATACTAGCACCCTACACTACCACACTACACTACCACACTACACTACTGCTCTACACCACCACACTAAACTACCACACTACACTACCACTACACTACCACACTACAGTGCTACACTACATTGCCACACTACACTGCCACACTACACTACCACACTACACTACCATACTACAGTGTCACACTACAGTGCCACACTACACTACCACACTACAGTGTCACACTACAGTGCCACACAATGCTACCACACTACAGTGTCTCACTACAGTGCCACACTACACTACCACACTAGTGTCTCACTACAGTGCCATGCTACAGTGTCACACTACACTTCCACACTGTAGTGCCACACTCCCACACTACAATGTCACATTACAGTTCCACACTACACAGAGGGTTGTGGTCCCTGTGGCAGGGTAAAAAAGCTCTCACTTCACCCCGTAGGGGTCTGGTTTTCAATTCCCGGCAAAGGGGTGGAAAACTTTGGGAAGTTTTTCCCTTTTACACCGGTTGTCTATATTTCCCTCATAAAATGGATACCTGGGTGTTAGTTCCTGTGGGGTCGCATCCTGGGGACAAAATTGACCTAATTTGCGGAAATGCTCAAAAAAACAAGGGGGTTTTCTAATAGTAGTCAGTGGAACCTCAAAAACCAACCGCTCACAACTCAACCAAAATTATGTAAGTGTATTTTTGTAAGTCTTTTAAAGTGATTTTCGAGGCCCTGAAATGGACAATCAATTTACTTATTCCTGATAGGAATACGTGGAACCTAAAATTGAACGTATCACATGTCGAACTTTTTAAAAATTAGAACCCTTTTTTCGAACCAACTTTTTCCCTTTTTCAATGGCCCCTATTTTCGGACCGCTGGGACGACCTTTTTTCCAGCCCCTCTGTCCGCTCCCCGCGCGGCGCCGGACCATCGGCTTTGTTTATCTTGAGTGAAAACTAACATGGCCTCTCATTCAAACATTTTCGATTATTTCATTTTGTTTAGTGCTTGTGGGGCGTGAAATACTACCATGGCCCCAAAAAAACTTTCAGTGGTACCCCTGGGTAAAAAAGGGGAAAAACCATAGATGTGAAGAAGGGGAAAAAAACAGAAGGGAATGATGCCCCAAAAGTTTTTTGGAAATCCCCCCCTACAAGCTGAAACAAGCCCCTTGCAACAAGTTGACAGAACCCTGTCCCATTTTTGGGGAAAATTTAAAAGAGGAACCAAAACAGAGGAATGTGGGGCAGTTTTTTGGAGACAGGGGTCCTGACCTAAGCTGGTCCTAGTGGGGATTAAAAAGACAGAGAAGGAAAGTAACCCAGAGAGGGCTTTTCTGAAGTCCTCACAGAGGGGGATTCTCCCCTTCCAAAAACTAACCCCAACTCCCTCCTTCCCCCCTCCCTATCTTCCAGATGCCATCACCAAACTCAATAAAAAGGGAATAAAATTTTTTTATTTTATTTTTAAACAGAATTTAACACTAAAGTATTTGTTGTATGTAAAACTGTAATTAATCTCTATAAAATGTATTTTTTTGTGAATATTTTTGGGTTTCTGGAATGGATTAATTATTAGTACACCTACCATCCGACTTATGACCTGCTCGACATACGTCCACTCGACTTACGACCGTGCATCTGGCAGCTGGCGGGGCCCGGGCTGATGCACACCACTGTACAATATTTGACAATACTCGCGGCGGCAATGCGTCATGCAGGCAGCATCAGTTTGAGTAACCCTGCCCTATCAGCAGCATCATACTGTATTAACTGTACTAACTGGACAGTAAATTTCACCATGGCCCCTAAGATGAAGTCTGAATCTTGCACTGGAGATTGTGGCCAAAAAGGCCCTTACTCTCGAACTCTCTATTTGTTTTCACTGTTGCACATAAACCTGTCTGTATCTGTCTGCCTGTATATCTGTGTATCTCTGTGTGTTTATCTGTCTGTCTACCTATGTCTATGTCTACCTGTGTGTCTGTCTTTCTGTCTACCTGTGTGTCTGTCTTTATGTCTACCTGTGTGTCTGTCTTTGTCTACCTGTGTCTGTCTACCTGTGTGCATCTTTCTGTCTAACTGTGTGTCTGTCTACTTGTGTGTCTGTCTTTATGTCTACCTCTGTGTGTCATTCTGTCTACCTGTGTGTCATTCTGTCTACCTGTGTGTCATTCTGTCTACCTGTATGTCTGTCTACCTGTGTGTGTGTTTCTGTCTACTTGTGTGTGTGTCTACCTGTGTCTGTCTGTCTACCTGTGTGTCTGTCTACCTGAGTGTCTGTCTACCTGTGTCTGTCTGTCTTTCTGTCTGTCTGCTTGTCTGTCTCAGAGCCACTCATTAAGAGTGTAATTGGTCTTGAAGATGCCATATTAATAATGATAATAGCACAATAATAATCACTGAGGCGCATTAAATGTGTATAAAACGTTAATATAGACATTTTGCCTAATCCATCCATGATTTTTTTTCAAAACTATGTAATAAACATGCTACATAACATATAAACATATAAATTAACAAATATGAGATGTTTTTCTGGTCGGCTTGACAGAGTGAACAAAAACCATTCGTGTCCGGGCTGGTAACAACAACAACAACGTTTGTTTACATAACTCGCGAAACTTCACTGTCATTCTCTCTCTCGTTTATTCATTTAATCTTGTTTACTCGCCTCTCACTCTACATTAAGACTACAGATATTTTAAGGTAAGTAATGAGTGGACACGTTTAAATTATTTTAAATAGTTTAATAATAATATTATTATTAATATTAGCACATATGTATTATTGTAATAATAATAATAATAATTATTAATATTATTATTAATTTAGGGCACTGGAGCACAGATCCACTGTATAGCACTTTGTCTGGATTTTTTGGGTTATCCTAATTTATACTATGTATGATAACTTTACTTACGTGTACCTGTGAGAGAGAGAGAGAGAGAGAGATACAGAGAGAGAGAGAGAGCCACATTCAGTCAACCAGTCACCCACCTGGCCTCCCCCCCACCCACCCGGCCACCCACCCGCCCAGCCAGCCAGCTACGTATTACACATGTTTTCCCCAGTTTTTTTCTCTTTACTTAGGGTATAGGTTATACTAAAATTCTGGCAGGATTTACACTACCAGTGGGATTCCCCCATTCCAATGTGTCGACAATACATAAAGATAACAGTAACATATGATACGTATGCGATGTAAAATTTACAATACAGTTCACTACCATGTAAAACTTAAAATACAGTAAATAAATAATTAAAATATAACAATAGAAGTAAATTATGGTAAAAAGAATGAAATAATGATTATACATTACATTACAGTATTATGTAGGTAGTTTATATAGGAAAAGTTTGACATTATGCCCTACCCAGTATGTCGGCAATTTTCAAAGGTTCGACTTACATCCATTTTGACTTACGACCGGTTGGTTGGAGCCAAGCTTGGTCGTAAGTCGGATGGTAGGTGTATTTCCATTATTTCTTGTGGGAAATATTGCTTCGATTTTCAGACTTTTCGAATTTAGATCTAGCTCCTGGAACGGATTAAGTTCGAAATTTGAGGTTCCACTGTAAATTTGTTTGGTAATGGCACTCGGACAGCCTTCTGGACCAAAGAAAGTTCGATATTTGAGGTTCCACTGTATGTCATTGATGTCAGCTATGGTCTGTATACCTTGTACATGTACTTGTAGAAATTAAACGTATTATAATATTATTATTATTATTAGAATGGCTCAGTTAAATCTTTTCTTGTTTCAGAACAAGTCATTATTACGGTGCCAGCTGGAGGTGCCAAGTGCCCTCCTTAAGGAGGACTACTGGGCCATGAACGAGGTGCGTCGCTACTACAAGAATGCCTGTCTTGACCGCCTTGAACAGAAAATAAAGTACACCTTTACTGATAAGAGCTTTATTGTGCAGGCAGTAACTCACAGCTCCTTCTCTCAGAACACGGTAAAATAACACTTTATTGTTTGTAAAGTAACACTTTATTGTCAGTAAAGTAACACACAGCTTCTGTCAGAACATAAAGTAATGCTTTATTGTTAGTTAAGTAACTCACAGCTCTAAGAATACAGTAAAGAAACACTATTGTTACTTAGTAAGGTAACACTACAAGCTTTATTGTTACTTAGTAAGGTAACACTACAAGCTTTATTGTTACTTTAAAGTAACACTACATGTTACTTAGTAAGGTAACATGGTAATGCTGGTGTTGTTAGTGTTACAGGTGACTGATTGTTACCAGAGACTGGTCACCAGTCATGTCAATAATAATGTTGTTAATGTTGCAGGTGACTGACTGTTACCAGAGACTGGAATTCTTGGGTGATGCTGTCCTGGACTATCTGATCACCGGTCACATCTACAGTCACTATTCTTCATATTCGCCTGGTCAGATAACTGACTTAAGGTTAACAACACTTTGTCAGGTTGTTGTATTAAAAGAATTGTATGAATGTTAAGTGAATATGTGACTGTTGTGTGATTGTTGAGTGAATGTTTTATGAATTTTTGAGTGGATGATGTGTGAATGTTGTGTGATTGTTGAGTGAATGTGTGATTCTTGAGTGAATGTAATGTGAATGATGTGTGATTGTTGAGTGCATGTTGTGTGAATGCTGAGTATTGTGTGAATTTTATATGAATTTTGAGTGAATGAGGCGTGAATGTTGAGTGAATGTTATATGAATGTTGTGTGAATGTTGAATGTTTTTAATGTGAACCCTTTCAGTGTCAGTCCCGTAATATTACATCTTGGAAGCCAGTGTCAGTCACGTAATACCATGCCAAAATTCTAGCAGCTTCAAATCTAGCAGGAGAAATCTGGTGAGAGAATGGGTTGGCATGGCCAGCATGCTCAGTATAAAAAAAATCAGGGAGGCCACAGTGCATTGTGGGAGTGATAATTCAGTACGCCTTGTTCACCCATGCCTAGCAGTAAGGATTACCTCACTACCAGGTGAATTGGGACTCTTCCCTTCCCAGGTAATAGTTCTAACACGGACTGAAGTGTCAGTGAAGATGAAATAGTGCTGAAAACCCAGACCATCAACCTTCCACCTTTGGTGCTGAGCCATCTCATTTACGTTCACTTGTACCACAGCAAAAGAGGACTCTCATATTTTCCCGTATCTCAAAGAATAAGTAAGTTTATTCAGGTATACACAAATACAGTTACATAGATTATCATACATAGCAGCATATGTGTAGAGAACCTGGGATAACCCAAAAAAGTCAAAGTGACTTATTTCCAGCGTGGGTGGTGGGGAAGACAGTGTGGGTGTGAGGAAGGCAGCGTGGGTGTGGGAAAGACAGCGTAAGTGGTGGAGAAGGCAGCATGGATGGTGGGGATGATGGTGTGGGTGGAGAAGACAGTGTGGATGGTGAGGATGATGATTTGAGTGGGGAAGACAGCATAGGACAGTGGTATTCATTGCTCGGCTCGCGAGCCGCCAATGATACCATGTCTAATTTTTCTCATTTACTATATTTCACTAGCAGCTCAGTACTACTTAATTTAGTTGAGTTACGCTAACTTGCAGTAGCTGCGGCTCTCTCAATCAATGTGTTTAACCGAAGTGGCTCTCTTGCAAAAATTAGTGAATAACACTGGCATAGGAGGTTGGAAAGACGGCATGTATGTAAATAAGTTTATTCAAGTATACACGAATACAGTTACATAGATTATCACACATTGCAGCATGTGTATTGAACCTAGAATAACCCAAAAATGTCAAAGTGACTTATTTCCAGCATGGGTGGTGGGGAAGACAGTGTGGGTGTTGGGGAAGGCAGCATGGGTGGTGAGGAAGATGGTGTGGGTTTATGTAAACAAGTTTTGTAAACAATATAATGATAACAGTGTTTGTGCAGTTATTGTGTTGCATACAACGAGTGGATATACGTATATACATTAGGTATTATATTGGTCTCACAGGCCACAAAAGTCACTTGAAAAATTAAAATACAGTGGAACCTCTACTTGCGAGCGTGTCCACATGCGAGTTTTTGCAAATATGAGCAGTCGATGGGTTGATTTTTTGCTTCCATACGCGAGCAAAATTTCCACAAGCTAGCAGACCTCAAGGCAGGTTCCTTGACACTGGTGAGGGGCTCTTGCTCATGATCTCGGGAATTGTATCTCATTTGTTTGTTGGACTATCTTATTGAAACTTGGGCAATGTATGACGGAAAGATGCTTCTTAACCCTTTGACTGTCGAGGTCGTATATATACGTCTTACGAGGTACCGTGTTTGACGTATATATACTCATAAATTCTAGCAGCTTCAAATCAAGCAGGAGAAAGCTGGTAGGCCCACATGTGAGAGAATGGGTCTGTGTGGTCAGTGTGCACCATATAAAAAAAATCCTGGAGCATGCATTGCATAATGAGAAAAAAAAACTCCGACCGTTTTTTTATTTAAAATGCCGAATTTATGGTCTATTTTCGTATAGTATTTATGGTTGTATTCTCGTTTTCTTGGTCTCATTTGATAGATTGGAAAACATATTATAGAAATAGAGGTGATTTTGATTGATTTTACTATAAAAAGAACCTGGAAATGGAGCTCAAGGTAGGGGAAATGTTTGATTTTTGCCGATGTTCAAAAGTAAACAAATGATGTCATTGTCCAATAAATGTCCAACTAACCATTCTAATATGCAGTCATGAATGGGTTGATGTTATTTATACAATTATTACAGTATTGCAGTAGTCTGCATAAAAGTAAATCTTCTATTTTTTGTTTGAATAAAAATTCAAAATAGAAAGCAAGAGTAATATCAGAGGGGCTTGGAGACATGGCTGATGAACAAAGAAAATGTTATTCTAGAGCCAAGAATGTCTGCATTGTTCATTCTGGACCTTATTTTGAAATTGTCGTATTTTTTAATTTTTGTGAAATTGGCCAAATTGCAAATTTCTGACCACATTATTGGGTAGTTGAAATCGGTAAATGGGCAGTTTCTTGTAGTCAATCGATAGAAAAAATGGATTTCTAAACAAATAGTTATGAGTTTGGTCGACTGGAACAATGGAATTAGCTGAAAATAGGGCTCAAAGTGGGCGAAATTGCCGCTTTGTAAATATCGCTGAGGTCGCTAACTTCACGAGAGCGTAATTCCATCAGTTTTCCATCAAATTTAATTTGTTTTTGGTGTCATTACAATCGGGAAAAAGATTCTCTATCATTTCATAATTTTTTTTTTTTTTTAATTTTGCAACACCAGGAGACACCTCAGGATTGGGGGTTGCGACAGCCAAGGGGTTAATATTTTTCAACACTGAGAACAAGTTTGTGATTAGAGCTCTTGACAGCAAAAGGGTTAATGTTTTATTAGCTAGGGTGGATGTTAGCCAGGGTAACTGTTACCAGATTTATCCAGTCACGAGATAATACAATAATTTTTTTTACCATTTGATGCTTGTGCCACTGAAACTGTTACTATATATACTCATCACTGGAATAATATCAACTATATTGAAAACCTGTTTACAGTGTTACAATGCTTTTTAGCAAGGTATTTGTAGAGTTCAATGCTACTTTTGCCAGAAGTGGTTTCATGTTCCGTGCACCAATATTTCTACCTTTTCCAGCACTGATATTAAAGCAGGGAAGTGTTTTTGGGTCTGATTGAAAGACAAGACAGTGGGAGGATATTACACACTTAGTAAACTGCAGAGAAACTAACAAAAAATATCCTTTTTGGGAGAAATTAAGTTTTATATGACAGTTGTGAAAGTGAAGAATTAAGAGTGGCCGCAGAAATCAGTGGTATTAGAACACAGGGGGATCAAACAGCAGGGCAAGCCTAGCAAAATCAGCAATGCAAGTGTTCCAGCTGGTGCTGTTGGCCCTGGTAATGTCCTGGAAGACAGTGCCTGTAAAGATCTAGAAATGGAAAACTGTGCACCAGCTGGAGATAGTGGTCCTGGTACTTCTGAAGAAACAGGTACAGACATAGTCTTACAAGATCTAGAAATACAAAATAGTGCTTTAGCTGGTGGTATTAAAAATGAGGATGATGCTTTGGGGGATGGTGTTGATATATTACTAGAAATATCTGGTGGTGGTACTGATGCTGTTACAGGTGTTGAAGATAGTGTGGGATCAGATAGAAAAACTGCACCAGTAGAAATCCAAGCCCACACAAATCCTAGCCAACAAATAATTTTTTTTTTTTTTTTTTTTTTTTTTTTTATCACACTGGCCGATTCCCACCAAGGCAGGGTGGCCCGAAAAAGAAAAACTTTCACCATCATTCACTCCATCACTGTCTTGCCAGAAGGGTGCTTTACACTACAGTTTTTAAACTGCAACATTAACACCCCTCCTTCAGAGTGCAGGCACTGTACTTCCCATCTCCAGGACTCAAGTCCGGCCTGCCGGTTTCCCTGAAATCCCTTCATAAATGTTACTTTGCTCACACTCCAACAGCACGTCAAGTATTAAAAACCATTTGTCTCCATTCACTCCTATCAAACACGCTCATGCATGCCTGCTGGAAGTCCAAGCCCCTCGCACACAAAACCTCCTTTACCCCCTCCCTCCAACCTTTCCTAGGCCGACCCCTACCCCGCCTTCCTTCCACTACAGACTGATACACTCTTGAAGTCATTCTGTTTCGCTCCATTCTCTCTACATGTCCGAACCACCTCAACAACCCTTCCTCAGCCCCTCTGGACAACAGTTTTGGTAATCCCGCACCTCCTCCTAACTTCCAAACTACGAATTCTCTGCATTATATTCACACCACACATTGCCCTCAACATGACATCTCCACTGCCTCCAGCCTTCTCCTCGCTGCAAACATTCATCACCCACGCTTCACACCCATATAAGAGCGTTGGTAAAACTATACTCTCATACATTCCCCTCTTTGCCTCCAAGGACAAAGTTCTTTGTCTCCACAGACTCCTAAGTGCACACCACTCACTCTTTTTCCCTCATCAATTCTATGATTCACCTCATCTTTCATAGACCCATCCGCTGACACGTCCACTCCCAAATATCTGAATACGTTCACCTCCTCCATACTCTCTCCCTCCAATCTGATATTCAATCTTTCATCACCTAATCTTTTTGTTATCCTCATAACCTTATTCTTTCCTGTATTCACCTTTAATTTTCTTCTTTTGCACACCCTACCAAATTCATCCACCAATCTCTGCAACTTCTCTTCAGAATCTCCCAAGAGCACAGTGTCATCAGCAAAGAGCAGCTGTGACAACTCCCACTTTGTGTGTGATTCTTTATCTTTTAACTCCACGCCTCTTGCCAAGACCCTCGCATTTACTTCTCTTACAACCCCATCTATAAATATATTAAACAACCACGGTGACATCACACAAATAAAATTCGTACATATTCTATGCCCATGGCATCTGTAGGCATGGAATACCTGGAAAA